ACGTTTTGGAGGTCACTCTTTCGGATTTCTAATCCACACCTTTCTAACCCTGGGTCGTTAGTACGGCTGCGTGGGTGGGCCAAAAGCGGGCGCGGTTAAAGGACAGGAGAGGTGGGGCAGGTAAACTCCTTTACCTCGGCTCCCATTTCAAGGGCTGAGGGTTTTTTGGGGGGGGGTTTCCCCCCCTCTCCCCGCCTCACGAGGTCCCGCAGGCAGCGCCCAGCACAGCAACTCCCTGGCAGCGTCTGAGCTCACCGGGTGCGATCGCGGAGACCTTTGGCGGTCGAAAGGTAACACTGATTTCTAGTAAGGCTTCAGGAAAGATGAAACACAACTGAAACAACCGTGCGCTCCGGAACGCTTCTCGCCAGTGCTAGGCTCCGCAGTTGAGCAAGAGCAGTTGTTGGGGGTTTTCTTTTGACCCAAGGGTGGAAATGGCAAAAAGCGTCAGCGATCTAACAGTCACAGTCTGCTTTTGGGTGACTGTTTTAGCGTAAAACGGGGGGGGTTTAAGGCACTGAAATGACACTGAGCAGGTTAGACTTCAGCTCCCAACCCTATCACAGACTTCCCAAGTGACCTTGGGCAAGCCTCCATCCCTCTCTAGCTCAGCTCCTCATCTGCAAAACGGAGCCCCTGCCCCTCTCCCCCCTTTTGGGGGATTTCATCCCACCTCTGTGAAGCACGGGTGATTTCAGGGCGTGCATCTAGTGCCGACCGCAGCTGGGCTCGGCCCTCCCTGCCCAGGGCCGGACAGGCAGCAGCACAGAAGAAAACCACAGGTACATGTCAGTACACGTTGCAGTGGGTTTTCTAAGCAGTTCTCTGGCTTTTCACCTCCTACAGCGGCTGAATCGTTTAACTACAAGAAGTTCTTCGAGATGGTAGGATTGAAAAAGAAGAGCCCAGAAGATGTGAAGAAGGTTTTCCATATTCTCGATAAAGATCGAAGCGGCTTCATCGAAGAGGACGAATTAAAGTAAGTAAAGATATGCCCTTCCTCAAATAACCTCACCTTAAGAGTTGAATTTCCTGTTTTCTTTTTTACAAGACTCTAGATAACAGCACACGATCCAGTCTCTCGACTGATATTCATGTGCAGTCATCAGTGGCTTGCTGACCATTTTGTATGATCCCAGGTGTGTTGGAGGGAGCTAGCTGCAGCTTTTGTTGCAGGACCTGGAAACCCAGGAATGATCAGTACCTCACAGATGGCTCGTCAGTCAAATGAAGTTTCAGAGTAATGCTCCTGCACATTACAGAAGGTCAATAACAGAAGACACAACCCTGGATTCCAACTCAAATATCAAAACGGCAGGGCAATTAAATACAAAGTGAAACTGTTCTGATAAAAAACTTTCCTTTTTTTCCACGCCTCTTCTGTAGGTTTGTACTGAAGGGCTTTACCCCAGATGGAAGAGAACTATCGGACAAAGAAACGAAGGCTCTTCTGGCTGCCGGAGATAAGGATGGTGATGGTAAAATTGGCGCTGATGGTATGTAATTAGAAGAGTAAACTCTGATAGTAACAATCGCATATTGCTCTTGCATACATGGACTGAGGAAATCTAGGAATCACTGGGGTCTGTGACCTTCTGAAGGGCACGACTTGGATTTAATGAAATGCCAAGTCCTGCTACATTCGCCCTACCTCGCCTGCAGGCTTTAGGGGAAACAGGAGCCGAGTTCTGACACTAGAGGGGGCAAGAGTTTACAGAAACCGAGACATAGTTAAGGCTCAAGACAGCACAGGAATAAGTTACCCATTCAACTTCTGCTTCAATGAGTTTAATTTTTCTGTTGATTTCAGTGGAGTGAGGATCAGGACACTGACAGTGTCAGTGTCAAGACCCGGGCTTGACTATCAAATTTAGAAAAGAGAAAGAAAAAAAGCCAAGTACCAGCATTTCTGCTTGATGATCAGTAAACAGGAAAGTAATGCATGACTTAGCAAAGCGGTGCTTTTAAAATTCAAAGTACAGTCAGTCTGCTACAGAATTTCTATACAAGAACTGTCTATGCAGCTTTCACTAGTGTTTATGTGGGTCTTCACAGCTAAGCAAGCTTGTCACTCCCTTTTACTAAATATGAAAACTACAAGAAAAGAAGAACTCTTCCTCTCACAGCACTTCTTAAAAAAACACTGCTGTTTTCTATTCCCTCTTGGGATGAATCAGATTAGCGCCCATACAAAATGTCCTCTTTTTCCTCTGCCTTCTGTATCCCTGAGACATGTTGGAACAGACATGAAGAGACATATTTCCAAATTAAATCTTTCCTCACTGGAGGAGACAGTAGCAGGGGTTTGTGGTCAGAGTACTACATCACCTAGACAGCAGGCAATTGCTAAGTTTCACCATATTGACAAGCTGTATGATAGGGTGAAGTCTAAAAAAAAAAAATCTAAAAAACCTCACATCTCTCTGTGTTAGCTGATCTCTGGCATTTGTAAAAAATGTTGCCTCTGACTAAAAAGCAATTAAAAAAGGAATAAAAAGCAAAATAAGGTTAGCTACCATAGTTTCACAGTTTAGCAGCTGAAAAAATGACATACAAAACCACCCGCTGACATATTAGTTGGGTGATACATTAACTAAACTGTCTGTCCACAGTACACTGGCATATCAGTGACTACAATCCTGTTTCTAGCCTAAAGCCTCTTAGTTTCTCAGATCACGATTATGTTACAGTGGCAGAGGAGCAATTGTGAAGTGTCTAGGGGACGTTCCTGCTAAACTTTAGCAGTGCTACTGAACCCAAGGAGTGTGTCACTGAAATTTCATACGCTTTATTACGTGGGTCCTCCTTACTCCCATTAAAATTAGTGGCAGGAATACTAAAATCAGAGGGCAAGATTTTCAGAAGAAAATTTATTTGGGTAAGTAAGCTTAACAGCTGATTGACCAACCTCACATCAGATACAATTTCAGTTATTCCCTGTAGGCTGCAAAACAAAAGCAGCGTCAGTTGGAATAAAAGAACCATATTGCAGAATGATTTTGGCTTATAAAAGAGGATACAGCATTAACTTTTTTATTTAAGATTGACCGTAACTTTTTTTTTAAAGTTGAAATGATGCCTGAAGGTCAGTACATTGTAACAAAGCAAGACGAAACACCTCTCTTCCTTATCTCCTTCTTCTGCAACTTTTACCCTTCCTTAACTTTGAACTGGAATTAGTCTGAATTTATACACGATAATGAGAAGAGAATGAAGGGCTTTTATCTTTTGCTTCTTCTGGCCACATCCCTACTACACAGCATTATCACTTTCTTTTCTATTTCTTAAATTTGACTCTTGACAGCAAATTGTTACACCGCGAAGGCTTGAAATACATGCAGACAGCTGGGACTGTGACCAAAGGATGAGGATTACTTTCCACCTTTTCCTTTGTTTCATAAGTCCAATTCCAGATTATAACTGCCTAAGCAAATAAAATGTCAAGTCACAGATGTGCATCACATTCATATTCAGTATCACAATGCCGTATTTCTGTTGCAAACCATTTTTTTCCCTGTAATTGAATTGCCACGCCTCCCTTTTACCCCTTGTTTCAAACATCAGCTTTGTACATCACTAAATGATGGCAAACGTGCAGACTGTCACAGGGGTTAATGTTAATTCACCAGATGGCCCTTGAAGGCTGTCCCTCAGGAGCCCACCACAGTTGTAAGAACTGATCTTCACGGATTTTTAACGCCACAGAGCCATCTTAGGTGTATCATCACAAACGTTAATCCCAGCCTAATCAGCCTTCTTCCAGTTAGAGGCCTCACATTACACATTTTCTCTTAGGTCTTCTGCTTGAAACCTTTTATCATTCCTGCAAGACTGTTCAGCTCAGAAACAGTTCCACCAGCTTACCCCTTGTCTGACCAAGATTTGTAATTTGTGGCTGATCTGCCAGTTTCAAACAGCTGAAAACTTGCAGCCTATTCATGCAAGACATGATCATCTTCTGTGTGATGTCGAGCCTCCTCTATCTTCCACTGATGTGAACAGAAGATGACGAATTGGAAAAAAAATTGCAGGCCAAGGCCAGGTTACCTAATAAAACTACAAACATTAGCTTCCAGATTGGATTGGGAAGCAACGCTGAAGCAGCTCTGTCAGCTTCAGGAGAGCCTTTGTAAGAAAGAGGAGAAAAGAAAATGAAGATTTCTGCTTGTAATGTTTTTTTAATATATTTTGTGTATTAGAACTGGATGTGCACATCATGACTTCCATTTTCTTGATATTAATAGACTTGAGAAGGTACATAGAGAATGTAAAGATCATGCACTGTAGACAGAACAAATCCAAATTTTTATCCCAATAAGTAAAAATACTTTCCTTGAAACAGCTCAACTTCTGCAGATACCTTAAAATATTTCAATCATTTTCTTTAAACGTTGTAAAAATGAGATGTCAAGTCTTGCCACAGGTAAAAGTCAAGACAAAAAAAAAATCTTTTGGAAGGCCTTCTTTTCTTATCCCTCGTTGTGCTCTTATATCTTCGAAAATAAATTAGTGTAGCTCATTACTTATGAAGTTTCCTAAACAGATTTGCTATTGTATGGATAATGTAAAAAACAATCTGATGAGAGAAATCATTAGCCTACACCATGTCCTCTGTAATTATATCTGTCATTTCAGTAAAACACTACAGGGTATGTATTAGGCTGGTATAAACTACTAAACCATACTAAACACAGTGAAGCAATCCTCTCCTTTTAAGTCAGAGCTTTGACACAAGATAGCTAGTAAATTATTTTACATGACAAAATGGTCTAAATCCTTGTAACTTAAAACTATTACTTGTGCAAAGAAAGACAGAATTTTGCTTGGAAGGAGAATTACAACTGGAAAAGAGGATGTAGTCAATCACAAGGATTCTCTCACTAACAGCAATAAACTTTTACGAGAATGACTAACAGGCAGGGCCTAACATGCAGTGCATTACCCCAGAAGTTTTCTATGTGTGGCTACAGTCTGTAACAACACCTCCACAAACCACCTGTGGTTGGGCTCACCTTCACAGAAGAATAAATAGTGAACTAGTTCACAAGATTATTCAGCATCTTTGAAATATTTAAAGTACATTGAAAATCCTGGAAAAGGTATAAAGCGCATAGCAGTTATTCATGAAGGAGTATTTATGGTTTGCTGGCTACCAGAAAGTACTCATGAAATATATTGCCGTTAAGTGATAATATCACTATCATAACATATTATAGAAAATATTTGGCTGCGAGTCTGAATAACCTTTTCCAAATATATTCTGTAGATACAAATTATTATAAAAAGGATTTAATTTAGCTGTAGCGAGTACGACAACTTGCTCTAATAGAATATGCATAGTTAGTTTTCCCTTTTGGAAAGGTTTCATCCATTGCAGTTCGTGTTTCTCTCTGCAGGATTTATTCACACAGTGATTTAATAATCATAGCCTTTTTCTTTTTTTTTTTTTTCCCCAGAACAGTCTGGGTTTCTATCATGAGTACTTTACGTTATCTCTTAAATTCAGTTTGCAACACTTTCGATCTATGTACCCACTGTGTACAGGATTTATACACGTTTTGTGTTAAGTAATCTGCATCACTAATCCTAATTTGGATTTACATCTTTCAAAATGATGGATAAATTTGGATTTAATTTAAACCCTCTGACACTTTTATTTCTCAGCCTGGTTTGTCAGTGTTTGGCAACCTGTTTTTTGGACACGTCATCAAAAGTGTTATCTGTTTGTACACGCCAGCCAGGAAAGATCTCACTTGTTAAGAGTTTAGCATTTTTCAACTGAACGATAGAATGTTCTTTAAAATGCTAATTTTCATCTTCTATCTTTTTTGGTTGCAAGACATTACTCTTCATTATGTCAAACTTCCATAATTTTCTCTTGAGCCTTTACAGATGACTGCCTCCCCTATTTGTCATTTTCCTCTCAGCTGATTATGTTAAACCCATAAACCACTCTCTCTGTATAACCTCTAATCCCTTTATCATCTTTGTTGCCCTTCTTGGGATTCCCTCCAGTCTGTCATTTTTAATGCTCTGCGGCGCACACAGCTGTGCAAGGTATTCTCAAGTGTAACTGTTCCAAGGTTAGATGGAGTTAGGAATTATAACCTCCTTGAGTAATACAGTATTCAGAGTGCAGTATGCTAGGCAGCTATTCACCAGGATACAAACGTGCCCTTTCCATCCTTGCTTTATCACCCTGCTGAAAGGCATTATTTATACCAAAGCATAAAATAAACCCAAACTGCAGACAAATACATTTATGTAAATGTTATGGATGTAACACTAACAAAAGCCACATGGTAAAATCCTGGCCCTCTGAGATCACAGGAATTTTTTTTGTTATCACCAACATGGTCAAGATTGCTATGTAGGTTGCTGTCAGCCTTCTGTTTTTGTTATCTGTCATTTTCAGTCAATTTGCCATTACAAAATTGAGTTTAAATGTAATATATTTATAATATAGGGACACGAATACTCTGAAAGACTCATTAATGAGCCTCTTTGCCAAACTCTGATATAAAGGAAATTTATCTCGCTGCAAAATTAAATTTCTAGTTCTTGCCTTCATCCCATTGAGATTTACAAAGGAGTAACAGGGAACTAACCAAGTTCTTCAGGCGAACAGCAGTGGACGGTCTCGACAGTCTGGCATGTATAGCACTTCTCCCTTACCCTCAAAAACTCTTTTCATTCCACCGTAAGATTTCCCAAGTCATCCTTTCCCTTTAATTAACTTGGATTTCTTTGTTCTTCTGTTATTGCAATGTTTCTGCTACACCAGTGACTCTGTAATCATTGTAATATGCTTCCTCCTTCTTTACATTTTCTTTTTTTAATATTTAAAAAAAATTTTTCCCTTCTCCAGAATTTGCAACTATGGTGGCTGAATCATAAAGGCTTTGACCAATGCAAACCCTTCTCCCATCCTTCACTGCCCAATTCCAACCACCTCCTGCTGACTGCTTTGGCTCCTGTTCTATTTATTTATGTTATTTTATACTCCAGCTCTGTTCTCTGCAATCCTGCAACTCTGTAATTGTGCTGAAAGACACTGTTAAAATAATAAAGGTCACATCAATCTGGGCTTTATTCTCTCTCACTATAACTTCTTTCTTATTTCATGTAGGCTTGGCACACGCTGAGAGAAAATTTTACTCTTTTTTGCTGACATCCCTGCTGCTTTATCCCTAGCTAGGGTGAAGTGGGAAGAAATTTTAAAAATTATTTGGGATAAAACATGCATATAATAAGTCATTCAGTCCAAGTTCTCAACTGTGGCAAAACTGACTGCATTATTTTTAAGCCAACCCTGCTAAATGGATGCATACTCATAGCCTGGAAAATCTGTGATGGCAATTAGCCAACTTCATTTGGCAGTTTGTTCTTTTGACTTAATCAGCGTTATAGCTAAAAAGTATTTCCTAATATTTAACCCCTGCTGCATTTTGGTGGTCTGTAAATTGATCCTTGTCTGTATCATTTGTTAAATTTGCCTGGTGCCACGGGACTTGTGGATACAAGGTTTGACATGAATATCAGTTGGTGCCAATCATGCATGGGGATAACTTTGTAAACTATTAAAAAGCGGTCACTTCTGAAACACAGGATATGTTTACTAGCAATGTTACACAACTATCTAGGACAGGAAGAATGGAATACCCATAAGAAAAAACAGTATGAATTTCAGGAAGGGGAACACCAAGATTCAGGTGTGATGCTGTTGTTGACACTCCCACTGTCAAAATAGTATATAAAAAAATTGCATCAAAAAACATTTCTTCTAAAACTTTACCAGAGAAGTGAATATCTTTCTCTGAGTTACGTACAGGAAACTGAGACTTAAGCTAAGGAAATGAGTAGCCAACAGTAAGCCTATGACAGAGCCAAGAGATGAATGCTTGTTTCCCAAATCCTGTTCAGCAACTTTGGCACCAAGCCCATGCTTTTTATCTTTTTTTTTTTTTTTCTTAAAGCAAAGATTAAAGGGTGGGGGGGAATCACTTTTAGGCAGCACTTTCCCCACATCTTGACAGAACACTGATTACTACTGCAATAAAAAGGATGGATATTGGCCATTTCTGGATTCCAAACTATTCCCTGCAGCAATACTACCTTATTCCATTCAGATTTATTATCACTAATTTAGTATAAACAAAAAGATAAGGCTGAAACCCTGTTACCAAAACATTGTACAGAATGCCATTCTCTGCCACAGTATTACCCAATGACTGCATTATTTTTAAGCCAACCCTGCTAAATGGATGCATACTCATAGCCTGGAAAATCTGTGATGGCAATTAGCCAACTTCATTTGGCAGTTTGTTCTTTTGACTTAATCAGCGTTATAGCTAAAAAGTATTTCCTAATATTTAACCCCTGCTGCATTTTGGTGGTCTGTAAATTGATCCTTGTCTGTATCATTTGTTAAATTTGCCTGGTGCCACGGGACTTGTGGATACAAGGTTTGACATGAATATCAGTTGGTGCCAATCATGCATGGGGATAACTTTGTAAACTATTAAAAAGCGGTCACTTCTGAAACACAGGATATGTTTACTAGCAATGTTACACAACTATCTAGGACAGGAAGAATGGAATACCCATAAGAAAAAACAGTATGAATTTCAGGAAGGGGAACACCAAGATTCAGGTGTGATGCTGTTGTTGACACTCCCACTGTCAAAATAGTATATAAAAAAATTGCATCAAAAAACATTTCTTCTAAAACTTTACCAGAGAAGTGAATATCTTTCTCTGAGTTACGTACAGGAAACTGAGACTTAAGCTAAGGAAATGAGTAGCCAACAGTAAGCCTATGACAGAGCCAAGAGATGAATGCTTGTTTCCCAAATCCTGTTCAGCAACTTTGGCACCAAGCCCATGCTTTTTATCTTTTTTTTTTTTTTCTTAAAGCAAAGATTAAAGGGTGGGGGGGAATCACTTTTAGGCAGCACTTTCCCCACATCTTGACAGAACACTGATTACTACTGCAATAAAAAGGATGGATATTGGCCATTTCTGGATTCCAAACTATTCCCTGCAGCAATACTACCTTATTCCATTCAGATTTATTATCACTAATTTAGTATAAACAAAAAGATAAGGCTGAAACCCTGTCACCAAAACATTGTACAGAATACCATTCTCTGCCACAGTATTACCCAACGCTACTCGGGAAGCCAATAAACACTCCCTAAAGCCATTCTAGATTTTCACTCTGTAGTAACTTGCAAGGAAGACTTTTTGCTGAAGCTGCTATGCGTTTTGCACAATGTATATATGGATCTGAAGAATGTATTGATTTTTAAGTATTCTAAATAAAGCAAATGAAAACGGATTGCAATGAAGTAAGTTTGTTACTTCTTTTTCTTGGCAGCTGCTGACCTCAAGTGGTAATAAAGAGTAATTACAAGAGTATACAGGGCTACAGAAAAAACATTAGGAACCCAGCTATTGAAGTATCATGAATGAAGATCCATGGAATCAGAGAGTCGACATAAAAATCGCTATATAAACAAAGCTCTTTACAGTCTCTTTATACCCTTTGAACCTGCAAGGATTTATATTTTAATGCTTCACTGGATGGCATGAAAACTGAAATTTTATCAAGGGCTTTACCAAAAAATAGCACAATGGAACAAATAGCAAATAAACATGGCCATAAAAATATAAATATAAATACAAAATATAAAAAAATATTTATAGTACATTATGTGAAATGAAGTAAGTTACAGCAACACTAATAGGGATATTTTACTGGCATGAAAGTCTGAAGAACCCAATGATTCTAATATCTGCCTGTCTTTCTAATATCTGCCTGTCTTTACATTATTCCCTCAGTCACTCCTGAACAAGCAACACTGAGTGCCGAAATTGGCCTGAAATTTTTCAGCTATATAGTAATGGATAAGATGAAAAGAAAATTCCTTTTACTTTCAAACTGAAAAAGTTACAATATGGATACCACTTAATATGGTTAGAGAGACCTCTAAAATATCATCTTTACTTTTCATGGTGACAGTACCTGATACTCTAAACAGGCATTTGGTCAGTTTATTCAAATATGCAACTGGTATACTCAGACACTATGTAATCAGAATTCTCATAAAATCTGTTTTAAACCACTTTTTTTTTCCTAACTATTTTAAATTCACTGTTTAAAGTTCAGTATTTCATGTCTCTATCACTGAAGCAAAAAAGAAAAATGCAAGCAGGTCTGTAATATAAATAAATATCTGCCCAAACCAAAAATGACCATTTTATCAATTATCATCAAAATATTACTTTTTTGCACTGCTGGCTCTTCAATGTTTATTTTAGGTTCTTACTTTTCCCACCCAAATTTCTTCCAAACCTTCCCCAAATCTTGAATCATTCCTTTTCCAATTAACAAAAATTCTCAGAATTTTCCTGTTAGGTGGAAGTTATCTAGTCATGGCTCAAAATGCAGCAAACAGGTGAAATTTTAAGTTACAATAATATATAAATTAAAACTTTATATATACAATATATTAAATATTCATTTTCATATCGCTCTCATTTTAATGTATTTAAGATTGTCACGAAATTACTGTAAAGACTGAAGAATGCAGAATTTGCCACAAAATTTAATCAGGCTTTCAGCAGAGTCTGGATTATAGAACATTTGACAAATACAACAAATCCACATTACCCTGCAATGTGCTATTTCACAAAGAAAGACATTTTAATTTTCACATGCATAAGCAAAGGAGCAAAATTAAGTTTTTCCAAGAAACATTTACCTTAAATTTCTTAATTGGCATATTGTATCTTCTTCTTTGTCCTGGACAGTAAGTGTTCCATAATTTTCTCCCCTGTTGTAATACAGAATAAATTATTAAAAAAAACAACTCCAGCCATCATGTTGAAGACAAAATTTTAAATAATAGTACACATCCTCTCCTTAGATTCACAGCCAATGATTTATAATGAGACACAACTGGATGATTTAAGATATGTAAATTATGTTTACACACACTAAGAAGGCACTACTTGTTCACATTGGTATTATATATTGCTTGAAGAGAAATACAGTGCTCGCTCAGCTACAACTCAGGAGGAAGAAGAGCCAAATCCTCAAGTGATAGACAATCATTTCCTGACAAATGACATTAGCATTTAACAGAAGTGGTTTGTACCAACAGACCATCACCAACTCTTAAAATTTCTCCGATCACCATTTACCATTACCGATCTCTTAACCAACAAATTCATAATTGTTTATGCTTTAAGGGTCCTGCCAAGCTCTTAATTGAGTTTCATGGATCAGCAGTTTTCCACATGTCTTATTTTGGGAAGCAATGGACTGGAGGCCATAACACCTGTTCACTTTGCAGAGGCTCAGTTAGGATTTATATTTACAGTCTATCCACCGGTCCTGAGATCAACACTGCCTAACGTTCTATGACTGCTTCCACCCTTTGTTCACTTCATCAAAGCAAAGCTTGCTTGTTTGCTTCTTTTGCCTCTTCTGACTCTGCATCTTTTGGGGGGGAAGTAAGGACACTTTTCCCTGTTTTTTAAATACTTTCAAAGACTGGAAATGCAGTTCATGTTCTCCTTTCCAGCAACACACACATAGTTTTATCAAAGCCTCTGTGCTATAGTATCTAAACATTAACAATATTCTGTCCAAAACAGAGTTAATATTGTTACGGAATCAAAAACTGCAGCATTGCACAATGTTTGCAACAACTTCTGCCTCAACAAAATAATATCAAAGATTATGGATTTATACAAGGTTCACTGAAGACACAAATTAGCATAAAATTTTTATTAATGAGCATAAAGCACAAAAGAACTTCATTTGACTCTAAAATCCTAGACTGAGATTTAAGTGGTCAGTGGACAGAGAACACATTCTTTTATTTATAAACCAAATGCAAATGAAAGAGAAATTATATGGCATGCATTAACACACCAAATTCCATGCTTCGGTTAAAGCATGTGCTGACATTCTTGTTCTGACACCACCCAGGAAGCAGGTGTAACACAGATACAAGACAATGGGCTTTAGCACACGCCAGTGATTAAAATACCTCCTCTAAGTCCTGGACTCTCTCATTGCTACCATGTGCCTGAACCTGAGCTGCTGCACCTTCACTCTGAGAGAGTATTTTAGCAGATTCCCTTTTCCAGAGAGACACACCTTTAGAAATCCCAACACGCTCCAGGGCTCCATTTGAAACAACTTCTCCTGAACAAGAGAGTGAAGCCAAATGTGTCTAAAGGGGGTTAGCTGTGTGCCTGAGAGATCAACCGTCAAAGCTTTCCCAGACTGTAGGATCTCCTAATGCGGGATAATTACTTCACAAAGGAGGAAGTACATTTTTGGTTAGTGCTCTTCTCATTAATAAAGTAACAAAGCTTAACAAAGGTTGATACACTTTTAAAGACAGTAGTTAATATAAATACTAGAGTCCCTTCCCCAGCCACAAGAAAAATAGAAAGGACTGCCTGAACCTCAACAATAAATGGATCAGACGATCCAAATAAGAATACCGGAAAGCACTTAATAAGCCTATGGAACATGCAGCTAGAAACGATGGGTTTTTTTCACAAACTCATTTGGTCTTCTGCCTAGGAAAATCTAAGTGAAAGCATCTTGTCAGTGTCTGAATTAGAATGTCCCACCCTTATTGCAACAAGTTTTTAATTCTAGGAGATGCTAGTCTGAGCAATTAATGATTTAAGTACAAAACCAGTTGGTTTCACTGGTGTTACAGCAGTAGAACACTGGCATTAACAAATGGATACTTAGGCCTTCAGTTGGTAAGAACACAGTAACTCTCTATTAATTCTAACTTTGCCACTAGAGCTTCTAGACCGGTCAGAAGACATGCAAAATGAGAGGTCAAATGCTTAACAACTGATTACTGGAGGGAAGGTCTGTGGGCTGCTGCAAAGCTAAATGGTTCAAGACATTTTCAGGTTTTGGAAATGTTGCCTGGAAGGATTTTTTAAATTCTAACATTTTTATTGTTAACAGACTCCACTTTCCTGTATTTTCACAATGCAATGCAGTTTTAAAAAAATATATCTCTAGAAAGATACTAAAAGATATAGGTAACAGCAAATTATCAAGCACTTATTACTGCTTTACTATAAAGAGGAATAAGAATTATGTGGCTGTGCTAATTTTATGCTTCCTTCTGCAGATGAATGAAGATTCTCTGTCTTAAAACATTTGCATTCCCCCTCTTAAAGTAATTTTCAATTTTGCTGGATACAGCACAATTGCATCTACTCTTTCAGCTGCAATGGGTTGTTGAAAATGAGCTATTGCCCAGCACCTGCTCTTAGTCAGACAGCTGAAATCAGAGGTTAGGAGAAAAAATAAAGATTTTATGTCATTGTAATGCAAGTCTCCTTTTAGCTTTGCTGCAGTCAGTGTTCAATTATGTTCTGTAACAATCTCCATTACTAGAGCCAGTGTTTTTCTGTTCCTTTCTGCATGCATTAACTTTCTTGTTCACACGTGATAGCCGCCTTAGCAAAGCAGAGGAGCCTTAAGAGACATTTGCTTGTAGATTTAATGAGTCTACATCTTTTTTTTGGCCTGTTGAAGATCCTACTGTTCAAAAGTATCTTCATTCTGAATGTTCCAAAGGAAGATAACTGATATAATAGAACTTAAATTATTTCTCACTGAAGGCCTGATAGGTCAAAATTAACCTGAAATTTCATCTAGTCTATTGAGTCAAAACACACAGCACGTAGCAATGAAGGGCTCCCATGTAATTTCTTTCCTGTGTGTATCCTGTTTTTACAAGCTCAGGATCCTTCTTGTTCAGAATTTTTATAAGTTCACTGCATAGCCCAGATGTTAACACTTCATCAGAAGCAGGAAACAAGGCCCTAATTCTGTAGGAAGAAAGCCACAAAGACTTTGCCCAGCAAGGCTCAGCAGCAAATGGGAAGGAAGTAGCTGGTGTGAACAGCTACTGGGAATGCAGGAGGGGGAGCCTTGCTTTTGAAGTAGGAGAGCAACAATACATGGACAGAGAGCTCTGAGACAGGGGGGCAGAGGGTGAACAACACAGAAATTCAGGGTCTGGGACCTGGGGAAAAGGAAATACAGAGCAGGAAGGATTGGAGATGATTAGAGAGCAGATGTGAAAAGCTTAGAGCAGAAGAGGTTTTACTATAATATAAATACGTTATAATATATTGACCTTGAAAAGAAAGGACATGGATAAGGTGGAAAAGTTTATGCCTAAAAATTAACCCGTTAGAATAGTGGAGATGACAGAAAACAGAGTGTTGTAAACTTCTTAAAATTTAATTAGGAGTCTCAAATATTTCTCTTCTCCTTCCTCCATTAAAGCTCCAGGTCCTGGAGTCGCATGGCTGACACTAGCTGTCAGAGAAAACCTGGAACATTCAAACCCTAAAAACATAAACAGAATATAAACCAAAACATAACCTTCTATTTTTTAATAAATCTCATTATTTGAATGCGGTCTTATAGTTTTTAACATAAGATACAGCATTAGTGTAAACCTAACAGCTGCTTTCTAAGCAGACAGCAGCTAGAGATCCAAAAAAAGATTCCCAGATGATATCATAATCATTATCACCACATAATGACTGACATGCTGGCATTATGGGTAGCTCATTTAAAGATGTCATATATTCATATATTCTGTATTTGATAGATTAACCCCTTCCCCATGATGCAGAAGCATACTCAATGCTCACTTACAGGCAACCCATCACCCTATGCATGACTCTATGCAAAACAGCATGACAATGACTGCTCCGATAATAGTGTACTCACAGCTGAGAAAGGTTCAGGCCACACACATGGCCACAGCAAGTCCTCAGTCTGCCACAGACACTCCCCCATACAGAGATCTGTACAACAGTACAACTTTCTCTACAAAGTTCCAGATCCCTCATCAACTATTCACATCTAATGCCTTGGGGTATATTGTTAAAAACTAAATAAAGATTTAGGTTTTGTTCCCAGCACTTTTCCTAGCTTTCTCATTTTCAATGCAATGTGACACCGAGTTGTGACTCTGATTTTCCCAGCTTCCATGTGCAAGAACAAATAAAGATTCAAGCTGGAATTTTTCCAGACACATGCAGGACAAATTACTCCCCCAAAATTTTCCTTATATTTATCCATGTGGATTCGAATGCATCCTTGAGAAATCTTAGCATACTCGAACCAAGTTTACAGCCTGTAGAGGTACCTATCCTACATCTAATAATTTATAATTTTCTGTTGATGTCACAACCGCCATTCATTTATAACTTCCACTTTCCCAATGTAGTAGATCAGAAACAAATGACAGATATGCCAGATCAGTCAGAAGCGCTGTTGTAACTGCCAACAAATCCTTTGGCTGATTCAACCATTTCATAATCATCTTACATTTCAGTGCACCGAGTCTCAGCCAAAAAGCCTTCATATCCGTGTCTCAGTCCCTACCACAAAAGAGCAAAATCTGAAGACCTGGAACTATAATGCCGTTATCAACAGTGATATAGAAAGCATCCAAATTCATACTTCTGTGCTAATAGCTCCACTCTGAAGAGAAATAAAAGGCAATTTTGGGGGATGCCAAATGAAGTAGCCCTCAAAATAGATGAAGTTTCTATTTATTCTACTACTTGGGGAAGTGTAAAGAACAGAAATCTACAATAAAATTTACACATCCGTTCTTGCAGTTTTGAAAGCTCTCCAGACATACCAGTAAACACTCATAGTCAATTCTGTAAGAATCTACACAGATTTAAAAAGCTGCATGAACTCTGAATAGTCATCCATTTGTGTGGTACTTCTGATGTTGTCACACTGTTTCCTTTTACTAATATGAGATTTAAAAAAGAACTGATGAAACACCCTGTATTTCAGAGATTTCTTACAGAAGGTTCTACTAATTCCCTTCCTCAGCATTAACGCCCTCCTGTAAAGCACTGCTTACTCCAAGGAAAGCCACATTAGTTACTCAGTAGCTTTTATTAGGCAGCACATTCAAGTTACAGGTTGTAAGCTGCTCAATGCAGAACACATCCAGAATGTTTACATCTATACATGAATAACTATAAAAACAAGTCCTAGGAACATTAGTGAATTCTGCCTCACAAGAATCCCTTTTTAACAGGTATATGTTGTGACGGAGACTTGCGCAAGTCACTTGCGCAGTGCCCGACAGAATCTGAAGCACAAGCCATACATCAATCTAAAAGGCTGTATGACCTTGGTCTAATCCTTGCTGTAAAGCCTTACCTTGCTTCTGAAATTCCTTGCCGCTCCTCCTGAAGCTGCAGTTCCACCATTGCTGCCTCTGTAGCCCGATGAAATGCGAGCTGCACATGGACACGTGCAGTTTATCTGCTGTTTTGTGACCATTGCCTAAAGGAACGTGACTTCAAATTTCAGGGTCCTGTGGCTGTCGGGGCAACTTATCCCGCTCACATTAGAGAAGGGGGCGCTTCCCACTCATTGGAATCTTGCTTTATTTGAGGAAGAAATGAAATATGTGAATAAAGAAGTGTTCTATTTCTCCTTAGCTGGTAAATATAGGATTTAACCTAATAAATGCTTCTTTAGGGTAAGGACATAATCCTCTGTTGTTGTTTTGCTGTTGGTTTTTTTTAAATCCACAGGGTTTTTCTTCCCCTCTCTTTCTCACGTATTCAAGATGAGAGAGGCTTCAGTGAGCACAGCTACCAGTATTCCAATTTATTCAGCAGCAACCCCTGTGGACTGCTAACAACAGACTGTGATTCTGCTTGGATTACAAGGTGTAGATAAGTAATTCCATCCTTAATCTATCACTGTCAATGCCGGTAAGGGAACAACTTTTACCTGTGAGAAGTCAGGCAGAGGAAAAGATTGAGACTGGGAGAAAAAAGCATGGGGCAAAAGGAAAACAGAAATAGAGGGGACAAAAGTCCATTAATCTATGCACAAGAGCATGCGGAGGTAAGGAGGAAATGAGGGAATGGGACGAAGGACCAGGGTGCTAATCGAAAAGCAGCTAACAGAAGGACAAAGGAGATAGCCAGATTCCAAGCAGAATTTTTCAATAGCAATGAAAATCTCCCTTCCAACATAATCTATGCCTTCTATTACACTGATCCCAGTGTAAAATGGTAGAAGTGTTTGAGACCTCAGTAAATGCTGATGGATACCATTATGCTATAGCCACGATCAATAAATCTCAAGTACATCATAATGGAGCCTCAAAGCCTTCGCATACAGGCTTGTCAGTAAACTGGGACAGTATTACAAATAGACAACAAAGGATGATGCAAAGATTGCAAAAATGGAACAACACAGAGACAAGTGAATTTCTTGGAGGATGGAGACGAAGGCAGAAAAGATGAAAAAGGAGGTAAGCTATTTAGACATAAGTGATGGAGAACATCAATAACCGCACACCTGGTTTATGTGATGGAGGATTCAGAAATGGAAGAGAAAACAGTGAAAGCAATAATGAGACCTGAGAATAATTTTTCTTTTCCTTTTTAAAGAAATCCCTAGTAGTTCACTCCATCACTGTACTTCACTACAGTCACAATCTACAATCAAAGTCTCTGCCCACTCAGGCTAGAGAAGTCCCCTTCATATTTTTATCACAGAAACAACAGGATTTATGTGCATATAAAAGACTCCTTTGATTTTGCTATAGGTACTTATGTTATTTGCCTGTCTGACTAGATGTCTGACAAAGATGTCACGTAGTCCAAAACATGTGAAATGGGTCATTGATCCTCAAAAAGACAAAAAAAAGTCACCTTCTAAGCAGGCAGGTTAAAATAAAACTTTGAAAAATTTATTTTCAACCAACTCTACTCCTGGAATGTCCAATCTTATAACCCAAATATGGATGCATTATTGATTATTCCCTTCTTCCCAAGCTTACTTAGTGCTTTTCATAGTAAGCAGATTCTGTGCTCCACAGTAAACAACCTAATGTGTAGCCAAGCAAAGTTTATACCCTGAAAAAGTATCATTTGTTATTGCCGACATGCTTTCTAGCAGCGTAAGTCTTCCAAAGAGATTGGAAGGAAGGGAAAAACCAGGAAGCTTCACAGTCAGCTTTTTCAGTTCTCAACCCAAACCCATTAAGTTTGACTTGGACTGCTTAAGGAAGACAGAAGACCAGTTTAAAGATTAAGAACAGAGCATAGAAATAGTTTAAGAATAGTCAAGGGAGATGCCAGTAAAACTATTTGAAAAATAAGAAAACCAAAAAATCAAAGGAAGCAACCTACTGCAGTGTGAAAGGTTACAAAAATAACACAGGAAGAGGGAAAAAAAGGAACAGAATTCTGAGATACGAAGAAAGCAACTATGAATTTGCTAAGAATTCTCTCAGGGAATACAGTAACATAGTCAAAAGCAAGAAAAAGCACGAACTGGAGGAAAGGACAACAGATCAAATGTTGACCCAGGTTGAGAGGAAACACTCAAATTCCTCGTCGGACAAGCAGGCCTCATGAACCGTTTGTTTTAGACACGTGGACCCAAGCCCCAACCAACACCGTGAAATTCGTAAGATTTGTGGCCGACTTATAAGCAGCTGCAGCAAAGAACAAAGCGGGGGTGCCACCAGGGGCAGGGCGGTTCCAATTCCCGCTCCCGTTTGACTCCAGCTCCGAGCCCTGAGGGAAAAGTGACCCAAACCACGGGACTCCCCTGCCACTCTTGACAGCCTGCTTCTTCCTTTGACAATACCTCTTTGGCCAAAACACTCCTAATATAGCACAGCTATATGTCCCACATATAAATTTGGTTTAACCAACCGGTATCTACTGAACCAAAGTCTGACTGACATAAACAAAAAGTTATATCCTCTTCTGTTTCACATAGATTTTATGCTGCACTCATCGCTGTGCTACTGCCAGCACCGTGTCAGTGATGCATATATGAATCAGTACAAACCATTCACAAGTTCTATATTTAAAAGGCTCCGGATGTAGCAGCTCTTCCAGCCTCGCCCGCCCCGCAGGCCAGGGCAGCCGGGAAGGGGGGGGAGGGGGAGAGGAGCACCCGCTCTCGCGCATGCGCAGGAAGGCACTCAGCCGGGGGTGAGCGTGAGGCCGCTTCTGCACGGAAGGTCCCATTCCGTGGGATCATAGGCGGGGAATGGGGGCTTTTCTCCCTCACTCTCACTTTTCTTTTCCCTCCTTGGTGCTTCCGCGCCCCTATGACGTAGTTTCTCGCCCCTAACTTTATTATTTTCTGTCCTGTTCCCAGTGGGTTAATTTCGACTACGTGGTACGGTCCCCTGTGTTCTACCCAATCACAACCCGGCTACTGGTAACGTAGTTAGTTGCTGGGCGGAAACCACCCCGTTGGCCTCGTAACACCACG